TCAAAATTTGTTTAAGAGTCCGTTAGTCAAATTTATTTTGGTCCGTGTAATTGCTGGTCAGGCCGCATGCTTGATACACTTTTTGACTTCTGTAATTTTATTTAATTCACTAACTAACTTAGTAGAAAATAAACTTTAAACTTACTGAGTTATTTAAACTACCACATATCTTAAAAATAATCACATGGTATTTAAAATCGAAGTGAGAATTTTTAACTTACCAGGGTGGGTTCGTTTCGCATGTCCATAAGTATATAGAAACACCCCCACGGCGGATCATCCCTATAGACAGACATGGTGAACCTGCGTCGAGCGATTAAAAGTATATTATAACAACAATAATAACCTATTTCATGAATAAGGATAACCAATGTAAGACCATTCCATGCAAAAAAACTTGACCATTATACAAACAACTTGAAATTTTCAACATCTCATCAAACAAAATAAAAGGTATTTGAACCCAACACACAATCCACAGTATTGTGCACAATCATCCTCAATCCAAAACATGTTCACCACAACAGCACAAAATCACACAACATAAGTTCAGAGAGTTCCCTCAACATAATACCGTTACCACAACCTGAAGAAACAAAACATTTTTTCATTACAAACACTACCCCCGCCCATCACGCATGACCCTAACCATGAGCGCCCTATCTTCTTGGCCCATGCCCATGAACATAGCAAGCTCTCTGGCATTGTTGCACAAACGCAGACAGATAGCCATTCGCTCCTCACCGGATAGAAAGTCGAAAGTACGAAGCGCATCATTTACTTCGGTCATCTGAGCCTGTGCCGCTTGAGCTTGTGCCGCTTGCTCGTTGGCCATTCTGGCAGCGATTTCAGCCAACCGGCCATCCGTGTTCTGCGAGAAGGTCTCCATAACATCGATGAAACGTTCTTCCATCAAGTTAGTGGACCTCCTTTTTGTGCCCTTCGTCTTTCCCCCCCTCCTGGAGGTACTTTCAGATGCCGCACCCGACGACTGACCGACGTCATTGACCGGGCTACCATTACCTGCTGTGTGCTGTGTGGGCTGCAATGTGATGTCATCGTCTGCTTCATAAGGCGTGTCCTGTTGGACATCCTGGGCCGCATCTCCGAAAGACTGGGCATCGGCGCCAGAGGCTCTGTCTTTCCCGAAGATTTCATACCAGTCATCTAGGTGGGGGAAAGACTTGTTCCTCAGACCCTTTGCATTAGGATCCACCTATTGACCATGTTTTGGGGAGAAAAAAATGGGATGAGGATATGTATATTATGCGAAATATATAAACGAGTCAATGTTGGAATTTTAAGTACAAGCAAACCTTAAGCCAGGACGCCCACTTCTCATCTTCACAAGAGAAGCTTTTTGTAATATCATCCCAACCCATTCCAGAGTTGTTTGATTTTAAAAGTGCCAGACTCGCATAAGTTTTCTTCCAGACATGCATTTTCGAGGATATGTGCGGCTCCGCACGAATTTCACATCCTGGAAGGAACTTCTTCATTTTCTTTTCCAAAACAAATGCGTATCCCGTTCTGAAGCCATTTTCTGTCTTCCAACCCTCGACTACAATCTCCTTCAGAGCATTTATTAGGGCACGCTCTTCTGCCCTTGTCCAAACACGGCGTTTTGAGGTGGACCCGCCCTCTTTCCCGGTATCCGATGTAGCTGACGGTTCCATGACAAATATCCTGTGGCGACAATAGTTTTGCAGCAATTTTTTTTATTTTTTATTTTATTTTTTTTTTTTTTTTTTATATTTTATTGGATAATACATAATTTCCAGTATATGAAAAATGACGTTAAACAAAATTATGATATTATGCACACAGGAAGAAATATATAGGAAAACCACAAACACAAAAATATTGTATGCCGATAATCAACATAACAACATTTCCAACAACCTGACTTAAACAAAAAATAAAAATAAACATTGCCGATAAGAACATTTATCACAATTACTTTGTTTGAGAAGATTCATATGAAAGTACACATTATTGGGTACAAAAAAATTATGTTTGTTTATCCGTTAGGGAACACCGTCCTGCCAATCTGCGAACATTTGTTGGGCTAAGAGGTCGCGCTTTTGTGTCCATTCCTGGCTGCCTTCCACTTGATCTATGTAGTCGTCGTCACATGATGGGTTGGATGGTACAGGGAATTCTGGAATCTCATTCTCTATGGGGTCTTCGGGCATTGTGTTACGTATAAAATTGTGAATAAGCGCGCATGCCATAATAATGCGATTTTGGGTCCGAATGGGGTAAAAAGAGTTACTCCTAAGAATTGCCCAACGCATTTTTAGAATGCCAAAAGCACGTTCAATCGCGTTTCTAGCTTTGGCGTGCCTGAGGTTGTAGAGTTCTCTAAAGTTTTGTGGAGCGCGGGGACCTGTACCCCATTCATCTAAGTGATATCTCACACCCCTATATGGCGCTAGAAAGCCCGGACCATTAGTGTAACCACCGTCCACCAAATAATAGTTTCCTGCGTTTTAAACGATTGTGTTATGTTTGATTTAATGTTTTTGTCGGATGGGTGCTACTTTACATGTGTAATGTTGATAAGTTGGGGGAATACCGTTTGGGACTCGGAGAGAATTTGCCCTCGTGACTGCATCTCTCAGTACTCGACTACCCGCAGCGGACCCCTCCCAACCACAAAGCATGTAGATGAAGTTCATATTTTTATCGCACACCCCAAGTACATTAACTGCTACCTGACCCTTTCGATTCCTATATCTTCCCTTATCATTTGACGGGACTCGAACATTAACGTATGTACCATCTAGTGCTCCTAGACACCCCTAACGAAAAAAAAATAAAATTATTAGCTTGGAAGAAGTAGAGAAGACAGAGTTGACTAAGCGTTGTTAAGGGTCACATTTTTCTTGGCTACCTTGAACCATTTCCACCTTTCATCTGAACAATCATCCTCAATTGGCTTAGGTGTGGCGGCTAGATCGGTGTGAAGGCGGATTACCGCATCAAGTACACGGTTAAAGTACTTGCTTACAGTTCTACCTGATCTCGTAAAATCAAATTTCAACGTGACGTTTTTCTTGTGATGTGCAAGGATTGAAAGAAACATAGCAACTTGTTCACTCGGTGCAACGTTTCTAGATTGAACAAGACCCCCTTTGTTTTCAAGGAGAAAACAAAGGCGACCAAAACAGTTTCGGTCCATTCGGAGGTTCTCAAGGCAAGTGGTGTCGCTGACGTCGACTAGCCTTTGCATGTGACTCACTTGAAGGGGCACTCTATCCCTCAATCGGTATGTGAGTCCGCTAGTCAACAAACGTCGACGGCGGCAAGGGAGTATGAATTTGTGGTAGTAGTAATTAGCTACTATGAAAAAAAAACGAGCACCAAGAACAATTTCTTCCAAAAGAGTGAGAATTAGTAATTTGTCTCGCACGTTATCCATCTACAAAGATTCAACACCATACGGATATCACCCATTCAATGATCTTAATGTTGGCGTCTACGAACATTGTGAAAATACTAATAAATCTCAAATGGTGTGAACATGAGCATGTAAGATACATTTATTTATGTCTGCATTTGGTTCTTATTTTTACAATGTGTGTATACTCTGTGTAAGTAGTAGACATTATGGAGAAAGGAAGTGTTGAGTTATATTCACAACAAACTACAAATAAATAGCCCACAGTAAAGTTTGGATTAATTTGTTCTGTGCATGATACACTGACATGTATATTGTACCCACATGAATTTTAGACAAGTCAGTTTGGACAAATGAAGTCAGCACAATAAATATAAACAGGGACATGTAAAGTCGACTAAAGTCAGGTCAAAGAGGCATATTGAACAGCCACACAACTCTCAGCATCATCTCAATTAGACTCCAAAAAATGTAACTAAGCAGCACATTATGAACATCAAACCACACAAAATAGCACATTTTACAACTTACAGCATGCTTGTGGATGAATCTTAACTCCTTCAAACTCATAAAATCAGCATGGAAACATGATTATTTTGAGGCTCACCAATTCATCAAATCAAGCAAGGCAAAAAAGCACAAAACATAAAAGTGAATCACAAGACAAACAGACACATTGAAGAGCCACACAAATCTGAGCATCAACTAATTTAGGCTCCAAAAATGTAACTAATCAGCACTTAAGAGACCATCAAAGCACACAATTCACCCAAAAAACATAACAATAAGTTTGACAAAAAATAAAACAAGGCTTAATAAAACACAAAACAACCTTCTGTTTTGCTGTATAAAATTGTATAAACTATTGGGCCTTTCAAAAAGGTTAATAGCCCTCTCAACTGGAGAATCTCCCTCGCATGGAAAGTTCACCTAATATAGGCTTAGAACAACTCACAAGCCTCATACCAAAACCAGGCCAAGCTTGGTATTACTCATGCTCCTATTTTCAAAATGCTTAAAGACTCATACCAAGCATGCACATAAGACTTATGACTGACCTTTAATACCTTAAACACACATTTTAAGCACACAAATGACATACAATAGCAGACTCAAAATCATAAACAACACTAGCTTCTCTCATTAACAACATAGTTTGGTAGGATGCAACCTTCACCTATATGGCTGAAACTGATCACATTTTGCCTCTATTAAATCACCAGGAAGAAGGCTCTGCAACTTAAGCAAAACCACAGCAAAAAACATGCTTTCTTTTACTTAAACATCTAGCATGGTTGGAACTTCATTTCTATGCAATCTAATGTTAGCTTTTCTAAACTCATCAGTCCAGCATGGATTCAACATAGATAATCATCTGGCTGAGCATCTTTATAATCTGAGGCAGCAGAAAATAAGATACAATAATGCTATTCTTTGATTGAAATTTAAACCAACACATACTCGGTTTATATCAGTTAACACCTTGGCTCTGAAATGTTTGAAAAGCACTTGGTGAAACATCGTGCACACCAAGTACTAATATAATAAATTAATGCAGCAACAAAAAATTTCAACCATTTGCAGCAAATTTTAACTTATGTTGAAATGTTTACCTTCACCTGGCACGGAGGAGGCTAGTGTTGGCGACGGGGGGTGAGGCCGTCTTCAGAGAAACAAACATTTTGAAAAAAAAAAAATTACAAAATTCAAACAACAAATTAAGGCAAAAGTGATTCGATGTAAATGTTAATATAGCAATTTTCGAGGGAACCTTTAGGCCCGATGGAGAATCCAAGCTTACAGCTTCACCGGGACCTGTTCGTGGTCGGTTCTGCAGGAATTAGGGCAATTGTGAGGAGGTCATTTCAACTCGTTTCAGGGTTTAAATATTCTATATTAAATCGAAAGTGAAAAGGTAATATGGCGATTGTGGACCTCACCTATACAGCAGACGGAGAATCCAAAGCTTACACTGGGCCGTCTTCGTTTCTGCACGATCTACGGCAAAAAGCTCGACTTCAAACTTTGTTCCAAGAAACTTGCGACAGACGAGAGGTGGAAATAAATCGAAATTGAAAAGGAAAGGAGCTCACCGTTGGGAATCGGAAGCTAGGTCAAAACCGAGCACAAAATTTGTCCAAGAATGACGTCGCCTCTCTCGTTCTGCAACTAGGGAAAATGGCTGTTTTTTTCATTGTATTGCTGACATTATTGTAAATCCATACAAAACAAGGGCTATTTTGGTCTTATCATGTCTAAATCTGAGGGCAATAAAGGTATGTGGGTGGCGGGATTTTTTTATCCGAAGGGGGGAGCGGGATCCGAATTGTCCCGAAAGAGCCGATAGCCGCTTGCCACTTGGGCGCCAGGTCACTATACCCCATCCCTTTCCTGGGAAGTAAATGCAGGATATGCGGGATTATTTCGCTTATCCTATCCTATCCCTCGAAGTAAACGACGCCTTATGATATTATATGTTGTATCTCTCTGCAACTCTAGGAAGTTCCTATATATTGGACTCCAACCACGTGTTAATACAGTCAGTAATGTCCTGTAACAGCCAATAGTTGGTTGTTGTGATGGGGTCAAAATGGTCAGGCTGTTCTTTTGATGCAATTCTTTTATAAGTATTAGTGCAATACACGGGTATTCCACTTTATTAGGCTTTTATTACTACAAAGTCATGCAGTGAAATCATTGTATATTATTCGAGATGCCTATAAAAGCATGACAAGAACAATATTGAATTGTACCACATCAAGAAATAAAAAACTTTGAATTCTACGATTCCTCAATAATATCATGGGTAACATGAAGAATTCATTGACCATTTTCTTAGTTTTGTGCCTCATGGCCTACATTAGAGAATGTCTAGGAAACGTTAATCCTCTTCGTGAAAATCTAAAGACGAGGGATTTCAGAAAGAAATCTAACCTTCCTCTCCATACAGAGGACTACTCAAATGATTCTAATTCAACGTCAGTTTATGTAGAATCACAGAAGGGTAGGAAAAAAGCCGAAAAAATCATAGCATTTCCAGGACAATCGAGTGTAAATTTTTTTCAATATTCAGGTTACGTTACCGTTGAACCTAACGCCGGACGAGCATTGTTCTATTATTTTGCCGAATCCGAGAATCCTACCAACAAACCCCTTGTATTGTGGCTCAATGGCGGTAAGAATTATGATGATGGTCCTAATTAGGATACTTTTACCATGAAATGACATATGCTTTTGTTTCAATTATTTTAAAAAGCGTGACATTTAAGTATGAAAGTATATATTCAGAGTTGCAGGGCCCGGGTGTTCGTCAATAGGGAATGGAGCAATGTCTGAGCTTGGAGCATTTCGGGTAAACCCAGATGGAAAAACATTATGTCATAAAAAGAATTCATGGAATAACGGTAATTTGGTCAAGTATGCATTAAGACATACAAATTTTGGGATTTAAATAACATTATGTCATAACAAGAATTCATAGAATTGCCGTGAGTTTCATTTATTGTGCCAGTGTTAAAGGAAATTTGGTATATACTTAGGCCTCTGTTAATATTTGTTTCTTTTGTTATTAGATCGGGAATGCAGATATGGACTCAGTAGATACGACCACTGGACTGGTGAATTACTGGTGGACTCATGCACTTATATCTGAAGACACTTACCGAGGCTTAATAAAAAATTGCGATTTCTCTTCAAAAAACTTGAATCAAAGCATTGTAAATACTATCGTAGTCAATGGGTTGAGGACAGAAGCAACATCGACTTTACTGAAATTTATGCACCATTATGCGGCTCGTCTGGAGAAATTTCAATGGTAATATTTCATCTTGCAAATTAACTAGAGTTGTCGAATATTACGTCTAACTAGCATTCGATCCTGTGCACATGCAAAGATGCATATTCAATTTTAGATGATATACGCACGTGTATGCAATATTTAAAATCATAAGTTAGATAATAGCATATTACATTTTATAAATTTTATAATTAGTAAAAATGAACGATAAACTATTAACTTACATATTATTCTTTTTATCGATTGCAGTTATATAATTTTTGCAATATTTTTTTTATTATGAACAATTGATTAGATAAAATAATATTAAAATTATTATTATTATTATTATTATTATTATTATTATTATTATAGCAATTGTGTATAAAAATTTAAAATTTTTGGTTATATCATAAAAATTAAATAACTAATCTAAATAAGAAAAAACTTGCTTAATGAGTTAACAAAAAATAATAATAATAATAATTTCAATAAATAGTTTTGAAAAAAAAAATTATAATACCATTTAATGTGACTTTATAATTTGTTATTAGTAGTTGTTATATAATAAATTAAATTTAAAATATAAATACTTAATTAATACAAAGTAACATTTTTTGGAGGGAAAAACTTTGAGGTTTTATTAAATGTTTGGCTAGTATGTAGATACAAACTAGTATTCGACCTGTGCATTTGCACAGATATAAATAAATTATTGTGAATCTGTACATATAATGATTAATTATTTTTCTTTCACTTTTTTGCAGACCAAATTTACAATTAAAAGAGTTGGAATATTTTTTTTTAAATTGCGTTTATCTGATGGGATGTAATGTATATTTTGGTACGTCTTTTATTTTTGAATTATTTATTATTTATTTAGGAATTTCAAATATATTTTTTATTTTAAAAAAAAATTAAATGTAACAACAATAATAACATCTAATCACATTATATGGTCAACTGTCATTAATCAAAAGTTTAAAATGATTTTTGTAATTTTGAAGTGATGAGTATTCATTATTTAATGATTAAATGAAAGATTAAATACATCAAAATGTAACGGTTTTTTGAGGGAAAATTGTTAAATTGCCACATAGGTAAAATTAAATAGGTTTTATTAAATTCTATTAGCTAGTAATTATATATATATAGATTATTCTCAATTTGTTATTTTGTCTTGTTTTGCCATAGAAGACAATTATTGATTATATTTTATTTTTGTAATTCATCATCTAATTAATTATTCTCAATTTGTTAAGCAGATATCGGATTTCGATCCATGCACCGTCGATTACGTCGCCGATTATTTAAATAATCCCGAAGTCCAGAATGCTCTTCACGCTAACACCACTCATATATCTGGGCCGTGGGCTGGTTGCATGTCCGAAACTAACCATTATTTATTCATTAAGGTTCTTTTTTTTTTTTTTTTTCNTTTTTTTTTTTTTTTTTCATAAAATCTGTAATTATTATTGCAACGATTTTATTTACAGTGATGAAATTCGTAATAATTGGATGGACGCCCCAAACTCAATGTTACCAGTCATCAAGAGCCTGATGGCTAGAGGCATTGAGTTTGGATCTACAGGTGACCATATAATTAATGGCTCGAAATTGCCTACTAAGATTTCAATATAATGGGCTCAATTAATTTAATTATGGTCTATTAAATTCAAAAATTTGCTCATCAAACTTAATAAACTAAATTTTTTACCACCTTTCAGTGGAGATACAGATGCGCTTATTCCAGTGACATCAACAGAATACTCGATGACTAAACTTGGTTTACCCATTAAAACTCCTTGGTACGTCAATGAAAAGGAGGTAAGAAACACGTACGAATCAACTACAAATTATTTTCGCGCTAAAAACATTATACTAAAAAAAAGTTGGGGCATTAATTTTCTTGCAGGTGGGAGGATATGCAGTTGGATACCAAATGTGACGTTTGTAACTGTAAGAGGGGCAGGACTTGCAGTGCCAAGTTACCAACCCGAACGCGCACTTGTTTTGTTTACATCCTTCTTGAATGGAAAATTGCCTCCACGCAAAAATAATTCCCAAATATATACTACATATTTGATGGTTAAGACTTATAAAAGTTATCTACTCAAATAAAGCTAAATAATAAATAAGCTATCATCTAGCAATAAATAAATTATTGATGTTGGCCAGGTGCCTTTAATGATGTCCCATACACATTTCCTTATCAATAAAGTCTTGAAAAACAATCTTTATACATGGAATTAAATCTAATTCCAAAGCTATTCATGTTGATTAATTATTATGATGAAA